ACTCAGCCCTTGCAGAAACGGGGCTGGTGCCCTGTGGGTTCCATCCCCTGGAGAGCAGAGGCAACACGAATTGAAGGTTGTGCAATCAGCACGACCTCGTTTCTGAGGAGCTCCAGGCCTTTTGCAGCCGTTAATCAATTAGTCTGGGGCAGCCCTGTCCCTCTGGATGAATGATCTGCGATCTCTCCAGAGCTGGAGCCTCATTCCCATCTGGACTTGTGACCATGGCTTTCCCTGGCCCTGGGCAAGTGCTGAGACCTTCCATAAATCTTCTGCAGAATATTTAAAAATCAGGTTTTGCCTATAAATGAAAATCAACCACCTAATTCCAGTCCCAACCCTTCCATGGATTCCCAGCAAGGAGGAAGATTTACAAACCCCCCAACATGCTTGGAAATCCTGCACAAAAATCCATTAACAGATAGGCAAGTCCTGCCCTGGATTTACAAATCAGGCCAATACGTCCCAAATAAGAGGGTTTTTCTTGGTGGTTTGGCCTATGGAAGGGATTTAGAAGCTCCACAGGGAAGCACATGCCTGGGGATGTCTCACTGCCGAGGAACAGGATCTGATCCCGGCGCAGCTCCTTAGGATGAGCCGTGACATCTGAAAGCTGCTGAGTCAACTGTTCTTAAGCCTTTGCCCGGCAGAGGGGATGCACAAACCCATTTCTCAGCAAAATTAAGGCAGAGAGGAGCTGAATAAATAACCTTTGCTTTGATTGAAAAGCTCAGTGTGCTCTGCTGGCTCTGGGAGAGACATCAGAGTGCTGGAGGCTCCAAGGGAGATGCCTCGGATGGTCCAGGTGTTCCCTGCTGCAGTGGAAACCTCCACGTCCAATGGCTTCATTCCCAGCCATAACATATTTAAATTTAAAGAGTACTTAAATTCTGCCTGATGCATCTCATTTGCTGCTTCTGCTTTAGAGAGTGAGAAAGGGTGAAAATCCATTTCCATGGGGTTGGAGTAGACGGCGGCAGCTTCGTCTGGGAGCTCGAGCTGCCCAGTTTCTGCCCAGCAGCAATTCCAAGCTCCCACTGCAGGACAGTCCTAGGGAGGGAGGCTGAAAGGCTTCAGGGATGCCAGCACAAGGTGCCCAGTGTCCCTAGGGTTTCATACTGGTGTTACTGGTTGGTGCTGTCACACCAGGGAGGCACGAGGGTGTGAGGCCACAGGAGCTGCTCTGTGTTGTGGAACCGAGGGTGGAGATGGAGGGACGGGGGGCTTTCTGGTGGTCCCTGCACCAAAGTGGGTGGCTTTTGGGTGACAGCAGGTCAAGGCAAGCCCTGTGGACTAGGTCCTATATCCCATGGACTGGGTCCTGTATCCCATGAACTGGTCCTTGCACCCCATGCTCTGGGTCTTCACATCATCCCATTTCCAGGTCTCAGCTGAAGAATTTGGGGGGGATACTGTACTGTGCACTCAAAGATGCTCAGCTGAGTGCAGGACCCTTCTCCCTCCACTCCCTGAGGTGTGGGACTGAGGTTGGTACCTGCGTCACAGCCTTCCCGTGGGACAGGGGCCCCCATTGTTGTCATCAGACTCCATCCCATCCCCCTGTGTTTTAAAGCCCTATTCTTTCCTTGTCCCTCTGATAAGAAATGCTAATGATGTGATGAAATTGGATAGTTCCATCGCCTTCTCCTTCTAATGGAATTCTTGTGTTGGTTAATTTGCTGTTTTTAATGGGCTGATTGTTCTCCTGCCCTGGGGGAACCACGTGAGCCGGCGGCGAGTTTGGCCGTGGTCAGATGTGAGGTGGTGCTTGAAGACAACTGAACCTTGGTGCCCAGTAATTGCAGAGCAATTTGAAGACAAGACCTAAATGTATAATTTATTGGTGCCTCACTCATCCCAGTCACTCGCAGTGGCAGAGACGCTCCCTCACTCATCAGAGCCCCCCTGGACCTGCACCCACCTCCCTGTGCATGGGAGGGATGGATAAACCTGGAAAATTCATGAGGATTTCCTTGTCTCCTTGGCCTCAGGACTGCTGACACCGCAGAGGGAGGTGGGTTGGGCGTGGAGCGATGCTCAGTTTGGTATCTCACTGCTGGGATGAGGATTTGGGTGTGGAGTGACGCTGAACTGGGCATCCCACTGCTGGGAAGAAGATTTGGGTGTGGAGCAATGCTCAGCTGTTTATCCCACTGCTGGGATGAGGGTTCCAGCTCTTGGCAGGAGTGTGGTGATGGGGGTCAGTGAGGAAGCAGCCTCTCATCCTGGCTGGACCCACTGTCCAGGGAAATGTTCACCCTCAGCTCTGCTGTGCTTTGGTTCTGGGTGCCAAGGGGGTCTGGGGCAGCTGGGAGGGACACCCCAATCCTGGCACTGCCAGCTGGGAGATTTTTCCAACCACACAGCTCCCCGGGGCTGGATCGATCCCATGGGATCCAATCAGAACCCCGTGACAGGGACAGAGGGTCGCAACCAAGCGAGGGCTTGGGAATAAATCCCTCCCTGGCCTGGCTGTCCCAGCAGTTTTCCAGACAGCCTTTGCAGCAGCCGACGGAAGGCCATGCTGAGGACATTGCGCTGCGCTGGCTCAGGAATGTCCCCGTTTGCTTCATTAGTTTGGATGCCAAAGTGTGTCACCACTGTCCCCCAGCCATGCCACGGGCTGGGCTGGCACCAGCACTGCTCCCAAACACAACCTGAGTGGGATGCAGGCAGTGAGGGACAGGATGGAACCCCTGGGGACACTCCCTGCGACAGGTGACAGTGGTGATGGGGACCCAGAGTGGCTGGTCCTTCACCCCAAAGCTGCTGCACTCGGGGATGGATCCATCCCTACAATGCAGGGAGCGCAGGTGGGAGGCAGGGAGTGGTGTTGTGGGGTGCTTCCAGCATCCACATCCATCAGCTCCCAATATGCCCAGCCCCTTCTGGGATTGATGCCAGTACTGGGAGCATTGGTGCTGATATTGAGAGCATTGGTGCTGATACTGGGAGCATTGATGATGACCCTGGGAGCATTAACACTGATACTGGGAGCACTGTTGCTGACACTGGGAGTGTTAGTGCCAATATTGGGAGCGTTGATGATGATACTGGGACTGCTGGTGCCAATACTGGGACCACTGTTGTTGATACTGGGAGCATCAGTGCCGATACTGGAAACACTGATGCTGATACTGGGAGCACTGGTGCCAATCTGGGGAGTGCTGGTGCTGACACCGGGAGTGTTGATGGTGATACTGGGAGCACTGGTGCTGGCTGTATTTGCCACCCTCACTGCCTGTGAGGCAGCCAAAGAGTCGGAGCCAAGCCCATTATCTCCCACAGACAATTAGCAGGAGCATTAATGGAATATATGCAAATGTGCAGTAATTGACCTGCGACTCCACGGTTCATGATGGAGAAGGATGAGCTCCAGATGCTTAAGGAGTCATTTAAGCTCCTTCTTTATATGCTGCTCTTCCTTGCTGAGCCTGGCAGGCTCCAGCCTGGGAGGGGAAGAGGGTGGGTGGCAGTGGGAACACTGGGGAGTGGGGACAGCCCCCCAGACATCCTGTTTGCACCCCAAACCACCTCATGTTCAGCTCCAGCAGGTGGGTTTGTTCTGGCATGGAAGGGGAAGCTGTAAGATTCCTGTCCAGGGCCAAGCACCCTCAGGTCCGCTGGACCACTGGGCTGGGGATGTTTGCCCTCTGTGGTGGGGCTGGACCACCCTCCCTGCCCATGTCAAGGTACCACCTGTTCCTGTGTCCCGCACAGAGGTGCCTACACATGGAAAAGCCCAAATGCCAATCTCCTTGCTGGGCTGCTACTCTGAGTTTCCTCAGCCTTTACTCAGGCCGTTTTGGCTCCAAGGGAGTGGGTGGAGTGGGTTTGTGCCCACCACTGCTCGGCCCCTGCCTGGCCCTGAGCTCCACCGAGTTCACCAGGCAGAACCAGAGGTATTTGAATAACCACTGTGGGAACCCAGATTAAAATATTGATGTATAATTCATGCCATATGTTCCACCAATATTTTTTATTTAATCAACTGAAGACAGATGGCAGGAACACGGAGGCCATTAAACTAATGGTACTTTGTCTTTCCATTTATTTCCGTCTCCTTTCCTAAAATAAGATGAGACTGTGACAGGCAGCACACCCTGGGCATGAGACCATCCCTGGCACACTGATGTGTCAGCAGGATATGGTGGCACTGCTGTTTCCCATGTGGTGTTATCCCAGGAAGGAATGGAGCAAATTTTCCATAGCTGGGGGAAAAATACAGAGGAATGTCATAGCTGGAGAAATCCCATGAGGATTCCCATGAGGGAAGTCCAGCCTGGCTGGGCTGGAGGACATTGTCCCTTCCCTGGGCTTGCCTGTCCTTCCTGTGCCAAGAGCCACCAGGGATGGCCCTGGGTAGCCCTGGTGTTCCCAGGGCAGTGGGGGGTCCACCCCAGCTGGCAGGGTGGGAACGGAGATGGTCCTGGCTGGAGGATAGAGGATGTCATGGCCAAAGCCTCACTGGGGGCATGAGGGGCTGAAACACAGGCACAGGGAGAGTCACACATGGATGTCATGCTCCCACGGGATCTCCCAGCTCTGGGATGCCAGGTGCTGGAGAATCCACTGGCAGCATCCTCCTACCCTGTTGTCCATCCATGGATTTCACTTGGAGTGCTGGTGAAGAGATGTTTGGATCTAGGGGTGAAATGTGCATGTGTGTGCGTGTGGGTGCAGAGCTCATCCTCCTGTGGGTGAAACTGGGAATTCTGCACATGTCCCAGAGCTGTTCTGGAGCTCCTCTCCTGCACAACAAGGCAGAGACCTGTGGGCTCTGTGGTTTGAGTTCAACCCCACACCCCTGTACCCACCAGCATCGCTCCCACTGCACCCAGTTACCTGTTTGGGGGAGGTGGAAATGCCCCTTTCCAGGGCTGGAAGGCAATGGAGAGCCTGGGTGTCCTTCCTCACCCCACAGAGGGGGAGGGACCACCATCCTCCCCGTGTCCTGGGACACTTTCCTGAGCGTGCCTCTCTCTGTTTGACTTGCAGGTGGAGATTTCTTGCCCTGGGAGTGAGCTGAATGGGGCTCCCTTAGACAAAGGGTCCCAGTCAGCATTCCAGGCTCCAGACGCGTCCAGGGACTTTTCATTCTTTGTCTGAAAGGGCAGCGGTGCCGTTCCCATTAGAGCGATGCCTGACGGAGCCGGTGCCTCCGGCGAGCGAGAAGCTGCGGCAACCGATCGGCTTTCAAATCACCTTCAAACCTCGATTTCCTCAACATGATCCCTCCATCGGCCCAGTCTCCGAGGCACAGCCGGGGGGCTTTGCCGGGAGGAGAATAACCCGGTGACAGCCAGCGCTGGAAAAGCCCCGGGCACGACGAGGGGGCTCAAAAATCCACCTTTCCCAGCACTCCAGGACTTTTTAGACTCGGGCAGTAGCTTTGCACGGCCTCACCCTGCAGCCCTCACCGTGATTTCGGGGCACCCATCTGCTCCCTAGGATCCAGCACCAATCCTGAGGGGGTGAAGCCCCCCTTGGAGCGTCCCAGGGGCCGAAGAGCAGCTTCCCCGCGGCGCCGGCTGCCGGGGGAGGGATGAAGACGCTATGGCCAAGCTATTACTAAAACTCCAGCGGTACTTTCGGCGGAAACCCGTGAGGTTCTTCACGCTGCTGGCTCTGTACCTGGCAGCCGGCAGCTTGGTTTTCCTGCACTCCGGCTTTTCCGGGGAGCCCACGGTCCCGGGGAGCCCCCGCAGCCCCGCGGGGGGCGAGGGGCCGGGGCTGCCCTACCTGGGGGTGATGCAGCTGAGCCGCGGCTTCAAGGCAGCGGCCACGATCCCGGGGAGGGTCCGGCGACACGGCCCCTGGTTCAAAAGCACCTCCAAGGAACCGGCGGAGAGGGGAAAAGCCAGGGACAACGGCGGCACCCGGAGCCGGGCACTCAGGGGCAGGAGCGGCCGCGAGAAGGAGGAGGACAGAGGTAAGGGCTGGGGACACACGTGTGGGGGGGTGGTCCCTTCTTTTTGCCTTTCCTAAGGGAACATCATGAGCCGGGGCAATGGTCACTGAGCTGGTTTGGCTGTGTATGCCTGCCAGGAACGCATTCCTGAGGACGCACCACCAGGAATTGTGTATTTATTTATAAACTATGTGCATGTGCTATTCGAGCGCTGAGGTTTTCCCCCCACATCCCAAGGGACTCCCTGGGGTGCAGCACCTCACTTTGGAGACCACCAGTCCAGAGGATGTTTCCAGAAGGATCTTCTTCCTCCTTCCCTCTCTTCCCAAGTGCCAATAATCCACTTTTATTTTTCCATCTTCACTCTTTCCCCCTTGTGCATTACCAAGCTCCAAGTTGCCCCTTGCTTTTTGGGGGTGCCAGCTGAGGGGGTGCTTCACCCCACCTTCCTCCCATCTTTGGCTGTGCCAGAGGCCAAATTTGATTTTCATTGTGTTGGCTCTAATGAACACAAACCCCAGATTTATGGGCTGTTTGCACTGTTGGGGTGTCAAGGCAGAGGTTGGCTGTGATTCCCATGCAGGCATGGAAGTGCAAACAGGGCTGGGATTTGGACTCTGGCGTCAGGAGATCCCTGCCTGGCTGCTGCCTGTGGTGTCTGAGGTGTTGTCAAGTGGGTCCATTATTAATGACCAAGGATAAGCGAATGTAGTCATTCCCATCGATTTTTAAAATGCCATCTATTTATCCTGCAGGCAGCCGTACACAGCTGGAGCTGCACACTCCCATGGAATTCAGGTGGCTGGGAGCTGCCATCCTGTCAGGTTTGGCATCCCTGAGGTTATCCAGCCCTCTGGCACCCATGAGCACCCAGTGCCAGTCACCCAAACACCCCCTGTGTCCCCTCTCTGCTCTGCAGCCCCACTGGGGAAGGACCACCTCTGCCTGTGGCTGCTCATTCCCCTCTCCCAAGGTCCAGGGTGTGGGAATGCATATCCATGGGGACCCCTAATTCCTGTAATGGTTGCACCAGTCCACACCCCAAATCCAGGCTTGCTCCAGAGTTGCCTCATGAGCTGGGCACTTACAATTCTCTGAGCATCCCAGGTTGGGAGATTCAGCTTTCTGGACTGTTGATGGGGCAGGAGGTGTGGATGGAGGGAAGCAGGAACCCCCAACCCCGTGGTTTCACAAGGGTCCAGGCTTGGTCCCCCCCAACCTGGGCTGATCCCAGGGCATGAGGTGCTCCTCCTCAGCCACCAGCCCCACAGCAGGTAAAGTCCTCCATGCATGATCCAGGCTTGGAAACCAAAGTAAAAATATCTTGAGGTGCTTACAGGACTTTCTCCTGCTAAAACAAGCTGAAGATGGTTCCCCTTTTGTATCCCTGTGTCGAGGGGTCTCTGGGGGCATTTCAGTGGTCACGTAGCTCTTAATGCAAATTGACATTTAGTGAATCCCAAGCAGATGGTCCCTGAGCTGTCAGACACCATAAGGACCCCAAGCAGGCTCCAGTCCAGGCCATATGCACCATGTCCTCCACAATTAACCCCGTCTGGCACCGCCACCTCCTGTGCCCGACCACAGGGGACAGTGACGGGATGCAGGGCTGAGCTTCAACAGGTTTAGCTGCTCCCATGTGGTCTAGAAACATCATTTCCCCCTTTTTAATCACTCCATGAGCATCTGGGCAGCTCCTGAGCAGGATGGTGTGGAGAAATTCTCCGACTTGAGAAATCCCACGTGCCCGCTGTGCCTGGTGTGCCAGCAGGGCTGGGGGAGCCTCAGGGGATGGGCTGAGCACCCCCTCGCTCCCCTGCTCTTCTCCAAAGCACCGGGATATCTGGCAGGAGCAGGCGGATTTAATGGTGCTGGTAATTAGGCAGGGGACAGCTTAACAAGGCGGCTGTGGAGGCTCTGCCACGTGAGATTGTTCCAGAGGGAATACTGCTCCGAAAGTCAGCTCTGCTTTCCTGAGTGTGATGTGCGGCTCCCTTCTCCCTCCTCCTCCTCCTCTTCCTCCTCCTCCCTCTGCCGGCAGCGTCAGGCCTGCCAGGGAATGGCTTCAGCTCATCTGCTTCCCCATGGGAAGGAACATCCCTGTGGGAATGTGCATCTCCTGCCTCAAACCTGGGAGAATTTCGAGGCAGTGAGGCAGGGGAAGCAGGCACTGTCCCCAGCCCTCAGCCACATTCAGCCCTGTCTTTTCCTGGACATTTCCAGCCATTCCCAGCTATGACACACAACCAAGCAATGCCATGAGGAAAGGGGGAGCAGACACTCCAGGCACGCAGCCAGAGCCATCCCTATATCCCTAGCTCCTGGAAGAGTGGGATGTTTGGAGAATTTAATGACAATTGCTGTGTTGATCTGTCTGTTCACACCCGTGTTTCCAACGTGCTCCAAAATTCTTCCTGATTCCATGTGAGCCGCGTGCTGGGGCAGCCCCCCCTCTCCTTGCAAGCTGTGCTGAACCCACCGCCCGCCTCTCAGCATCAACCCCTTCACTTCTGCCCTCTTATGTCCCTAATTATTCCAGTTGGCTTCCCAATAAGTAACAGCACACATATGTCAAGAGCAATGGATTGAAGGTAATGCACATCAGTCACCAGCTCGGTGCAAGTGACTGGAGAAATCCTGCCCCTGCTGGATCTGTCAGGGCTGGAATGCGCTGACCAGCCAAAACCTGCCCAGCCCTGAGGAAATGCCACGTTCTGCTGGGAGTAATTGGGAGCAATGAGTTATGGCCCTGGTGGTTAAAGTTATCAGACACATTTCTCTCTGTCTTCCTTCTCCACCTTCCCCCAGGCTGGCTTGGGAAGGTTATTGCAGCACTGGTGGGGAATGGGGGGGCCTGTGTGGGGCACGCCATGGATGGGGTGTGCTTGGTGAGCTGGGTCAGATGTGGAATGCAGGGAGGAGGTGAAAAGTATTATCCCACAGTGTGGTTTCAAATTGGAGTGGCACAGATTAGATATATGGAACAAATAATTCCCTGTGAGGGTGGTGAGGCCCTGGCACAGGTTGTCCAGAGAAGCTGTAGCTGCCCCATCCCTGGAAGTGTCCAAGGCCAGGTTGGATGGGGCTTGGAGCAATCTGGGATAGTGGAATAAAAAGTGAATTATTGCTGTTATATTCACTGAGGTTGCACACCTGGAACAGGGAGTGAGGTGAACCGGACTGGTTTGGGCTTCCACACCAGTTCTGCCATCACTGCTGGGCCAGTAAGACCCAACCACTGGTCCCTCCCCTCTCCCTGGAGCACCCACTGGGTGTCTGGCTGAACAACCTCTGCCAGAACATGTTAATGGACACCTCATTAGCTGATTACTGATGGCTCGTCCCACAGCTCCCATACCCGGTTCTCCTGCAGCAGCAGTGAGGACGCTGAGCATCCCTGGTCCAGCTCCACATCCCTGCACTGATCTAAGGCATCTCCTCGCAGCAAACACTCGGGTGGGAGCAGGAGCAGGGCACTAACGAGGGTGCTAATGAGGGCACCTAATGAGGAGGCTGAGCAGGGACAGCTCGTGGGCCATCTCACCCCTAACAAGAGCCTACAGCCGGCACGGAATGTCGCCGCAGGCACGCAGGAGATGGCTCTTTGTGCTCAGGTTATTGGGAAAGGCTACATTTATCAAGTAAATGATTTTAGTGTGACTTCATTCAGCTCTATTCCCTCTCTCCTGGCATCTTCATTTACTCTCAGCACAGGCATCAGCCTTTACTTTGCCAAGTGTCAGTGCTGGACAAACATCCTCTGCTCCCAGGCTGGGGCTGGGGAAAATGAGCCGCTGGCTGAGGAAAATGTGTGTTAAATGATATTTCTCCAGTCTGTCCAGCCCTGTGCTCCCAGCAGGGCAGGGTGAAGGGGATGGGTTATTTTCCTCTGTAGCTCATCTTTTGGAGCAGCTTTGCTCAGCTTGGAGGCTAATGTGGAGGAAAAGGACGAAGAGGAGAACCCTCAGTGCAGAGCCACAGGATTCCTTCTATCCATGAGGGTGTTCCTGGGCATTAGACACCTTTCCCTGTTTGTTGTACCCAGAGCACATGTTTCCAAAGCAAACGAACAGGGTACAATGCGGCACATCCCTATTTAGGGAATAATCAAGAGGAGGTGGGAACGGGTGGGCTCAGCCCCAGTGGGTTCTTACCCCCCTCTCCTCTCTCCACCCCCAGCACGATACATCGGCTGCTACGTGGACAACACTCGCCAGCGGACCCTGCGTGGGATGTCCTTCTTTGACTACAAGAAGATGACAGTCTTCCGTTGCCAGGACAACTGTGCTGAGCGGTAGGGCAGGGCACTGTGTCTCCAGGAATCCCTGCACACCTTCTCCATGAATCCCTACACAACATGTCCATCAATCCCTGCACAACATCTCCATGAATCCTTGTACACCATCTCTGTCACTCCCGGTACACAGAATGCAATGCAATAATAAGATAGGATAGGACGGATTGGAATAAGATATGATAGGATTGAATAACAGGATAGGATAGGATAGGGTAGGATAGGATATTTTCAGTTGGAAGGACCCTACAATAATCACTAGCCCAAAAATGAACCCTTGGGATGCAGCGCTGCTTCCGGCACTGGCCATGAGCAGGCTGTGGCACAGATGCTCCTTCAAAATCCCCAGGGAGTCCCCTGTCCCCCTCTCCACAGGGGGTATCCCAGGAATGTCTGAGCCCCCCATCTCCCTCTCCACAGGGGGTACCTCTATGCAGGACTGGAATTTGGCGCCGAGTGCTACTGTGGGCACAAGATCCAGGCGTCGAACGCCAGCGAGTCCGAGTGTAACATGGAGTGCAAGGGGGAGCGGAGCAACACCTGTGGTGGGATCAACCGCCTCTCCATCTACCGCCTGGAGCTGGCCCAGGAATCTGCCAGGAGATGTAAGTCAGCGGCATCCACACAGCTCCTGGCTCAGCCCTGGAATGGGGGAACCCCTCGCGGTGCTGGGGGGTGATCCTGACATCCCTGTGTCATGTAAGCCGGGTCGTGGCTCGGTAGAAGTGGTTTGAGAGAGGTTCAGGTCTGGGGGGTAGTTTTGCTCCTGCAGACCACAGGAATCCCCCTGTGAGGAATGCTGCTGGATGGGGCAGGTTGGAACAGGGAACCTCAAGGACCCCAGCGGAAATTCAGGGCATTTTGGGGGACTTCAGGACACGATCTCTTTCCTGACCATCAGTGCATTCAGTGTGTGCTGCAGGATGAAGGATGTGCGGGAGCTCTAGACAGAGCCGAGGGTGCTCCCTGTCAGAGTAGCTCGTTTAGCTCCCAATTAGGCAGCTCTATAATTACCCACATTTGCTGCTTGTCTTTCCTCATTCCCAAACAGTGGGAAAGAGGGTGGAGCAATTAGAGTTCCCATCACCAGGAATTCGCAGTGGGACTGAGGTTGCCCAGGTACCGGGAGTGGTGGGATGGGACCCCTCAGGGCACGGATCCCGGAGGGACCAGCCCAGCCCCAGTCCTGCAGTCCTCGCTGTTTCCACCCCTCCTGCAGCCCGGGATCACCGAGTTGATAAAAATAGCGAAGCAAAAATAAACCCGACTTTGCTGCCGGGGTTTTGCTCTGATTTTGCACCGTAAGCAGCCGGGCGAGCGCGTCAGCCAACGCGGCTGCACCGCCGGAGGGGGCCGGGAGCCGGGGAAAAGCCGATGCTGTGTCACGCAGGGGCTCCTGCTCTCGAGCCTGGGGCACACAGGGTGGCAGTGGTGCCATTTTGGAGTGCAGTGATGTCATTTTTGGGGTGTGGTGGTGTCATTTTTGGGGGGCAGTGGTGCCAGGGTCACTGTGGCCTCTTTCCCCCGCAGATGGCAGTGCCATATTCCGAGGGTGCTTCCGCCGGCCGGACAACGTGTCCATCGCCCTGCCCGCCAGCCAGCTCATGCTCAACATGTCTGTGGACAAGTGTGTGGACTTCTGCACTGAGAAGGTACTGGGGCAAAGATGCTGGAAGGATGTTGAAAGAGTGCTGGAAAGGGCTGGAGTGAGCTAGAAGGATGCTGAAATGATGCTTGAAGGGTGCTGGAATGACAGTTGAAGGGTTCTGGAATGGGCTTGAAGGACAGTGGAACGGGCTGTAAGGGTGCTGTAAGGATGCTGGAATGATGCTGGAAGGGTGCTGGAATGATGCTTGAAGGATGATGGAATGTGCTGGAATGATGCTGGAAGGGTGGTGGAATGATGCTGGAGTGGCCTGGAAGGATGCTGGAGTGGCCTGGAAGGATGCTGGAGTGGCCTGGAATGATGCTGGAAGGATGCTGGAATGGGCTGGAAGGAGGCTGGAATGGCCTGGAATGATGCTGCAAACCAGCCCGCACTGCACAGTGGGACCAGGTCAGCGAGGACAGGTATGAGAGGCAGAGGAAGGATCTGCCACGGGGAACAGGGGCAGTGCCACTGGCTGCCCTCCGTGTGCCCATCCCTGCAGGAATACCCGCTGTCGGCCCTGGCAGGGACCTCGTGCCACTGCGGATTCCCCACGACGCTGTTCCCGCTGCACGAGCGCGAGGACGAGCAGCTCTGTGCCCAGAAGTGCCCTGGGGAGGAGTTTGAGAGCTGCGGCACTGCCGACTTCCTCCTGGTCTACCAGACCCAGGTGCAAGGTGAGCTGGGACAGGCAGGGACCACTCCAGCACCCTTTTCCCACTCCCTTCCTGGGAATGCCGGAGGAAAGCGAGTGTGAGCTCACAGCATCTTCCATTAAAAATTAGCATTTCTTTGAATTTCCTGGGAAATCGGTCCTCCCCTGAACAAACAACTGTAGTTACTGCCTGACTCAGCTGCAGGGAAGAACAGTTTTCCATCTGCCTCTGGCAGGATCCCTCCTTGCCAGGGCTTTTCCCACCTCCTTGGCACCGGCTGGTGAACCCACAGAGGGTTCACCATCCAGAGGGGATGAGCTCCAGGGAATAATATGGGGGGGAAGAAAACTGTAAGCAGTCAGAAATTCCCCAGGATGCTGCACAGAGAGGGCTCCTGTCCTCTGGCATTGGGACCATGGAGACAGGGAAGCACAGGGAAAGGGGAAAACTTTTACTGGGAAAGGAAAGGGCTGAAGGGAGCAAGTGAGGACCCAAATTCAGGTGGTTTTGGTTCAGAGCAGGTCAGTCTTGTCATGATCCCGCCTTCAGTGTTTGAGGCCATGCTGGAAATGTTTGTTCATTCATCCATATAAAAAGCAGGAACGTTGCTAGGCACACGCATCCCTGTTATTCACTCTTCTCTAAGGATGCAGGCAGCAAGGAGCTGGTAATGTCAGAGAACTATCTTCTCCTTGGGACTTTTTGGGGCGTTTAGGACCCCTTGAGGTGTTCAGGACCTTTTGGGATGTCCCTGTGTGCTTTGGGCAGGGCACCTTTCCTTGTAGCATCCGCCTCCTCACTGCTGCTCCTCCATCCTCCCGGGAGGCAGTGGGACGTCCCTATAGGAAAACCATGTTTCCATGACACATTCCTGATGTGCCATGACTGGTTCTCACTGCAGACAACCGTTGCATGGACAGGAGGTTTCTCCCCAGCCGAGCCAAGCAGCTGGTGGCCCTGGCCAGCTTCCCTGGAGCTGGCAACACCTGGGCACGGCACCTGATCGAGTTGGCCACCGGCTTCTACACCGGCAGCTACTACTTTGATGGGTCTCTCTACAACAAAGGTGAGGGGGGGGGTGTCATTGCTGGGAGTGCACCAGTCCCATCTGAGCTGGGAAAGGTCCTGGTGACATCCCATGGGTCTGCAGGAAGGGTCTGAGCGATGCTGCTCCATGGGGTGGTTGGACTGAGGGTGTCCTGGTCAGATATTAGGAGGAAATTGTGAGGGTGGTGAGGCCCTGGCAAGGGTTGCCCAGAGAAGCTGTGGCTGCCCCATCCCTGGAAGTGTTCCAGGCCAGGTTGGACAGGGCTTGGAGCAACCTGGTCTAGTGGAAGGTGTTCCTTTCCAAGGGGGTCGGAATGAAAGCTGTAAGGTTCCTTCCAACCCAAACCATTTTGGGATTCTGGGGTTGTGATAACCCACTTCATTGCAAGGGGAAGGAAAAACACCAGTTCCCCCATTTTATAGCCTTTTACAACAGTTTTATTTGTGGACCTTGAAGATTTCTCCCGCTCCTCCTCCCCTCCCTGCACCTTTGAGAGGAAATCCTCTGCTCCTCCTTGGCTGTGGTGAAGCTGGGATCTGTGCCTGGGGTACTCACAGAGCTGTTGGGGTACCCCCTAAACCCCTGCTTGCCCAACACCACAGGAATTCCTTTGAATTTGCCAAACCCAGCCTTCCAGAGATGGAAATACTCAGCCCTGATTGAGGGAGCGCAGACTGTTCCAGCCCCTGGCACCCGGTCCAGGGTGCAGCCACATCTCAGGGAGCGGAGCAACCCTGGGAAAAAGCCTTGGCTGGGTTTTGCTCACCCACCCAAGTGTAGGTTATGTGTTAATTCCGTGTCAGAGGGGCTGGGAGGTATCCAGGCAACTGGCAGGTCAACCAGCACAGCCCTGCGTCGCCCGGCAAGGCCCAGAGCAAATTACACTTCTATAATTGATGTCATACAGCTCCTTCCAGCTCATCTCCCCCTTGGCTCTGCTCCAGGTGGTTGTGCTTTGCAAGGATTGGGAGGGATGCTGGACTCAGCCCTGATGCTCCATGCAGGGCACAGGGGGTGGTGGTCCCCTCTCTGGACCCCTCATGGCATCACCACAGCCCTGGGCTCCTCCACAGCCCCACAAAAAGGGGGGGTTTCCCCCTTCTTAGTGTAATGGGAGAGTTTAAACGCTGTGGTCAGGGAGATTATAGCTATAAAATATGTTCTTGACCCCCCCAAAACAAGCACAAGAGCTGAGCATGGCCAGGGAGATGCAGCTCTGAGCGGCCCCCGTGCTGGTAACCACCCTCTCATGAATTTTATGTGACTCATAAGTTGGGCAAATGAATGATTTCCATCTGGGAGAGGGATGTAAATCCTCCTTCACGCCCCAGCTGCTTTTATCCAACTGTACTTTGCAACCTGATATCTCTGAGTCGTTCCCTTTCACAGAATCCTGGGATCGTTTGGGTTGGAGAGGACTTGAGATCATCGAGTCCAACCATTCCCCCAGCACTAACCCATGTCCCCAAGTGCCACATCCATGTGGCTTTTAAATCCCTCCAGGGATGGTGACACCATCACTGCCCTGGGCAGCCTGTGAAGGGCTGGACATCCCTTTCCATGAAGGAATTTTTCCTAATATCCAACCTGAACCTCCCCTGGCACAACTTGGGGCTGTTTCCTCTTGTCCTATCGCTTGTTACCTGGGAGAAGAGATCGAGTCCCACCTGGCTCCACCCTCCTCCCAGGGAGCTGTGGAGAGCAACAAGGTCCCCCCTGAGCCTCCTTTTGTCCAGGCTGAGCCCTCCCAGCTCCCTTTTATTATTCCCACTGGGCTCTGTCCCGGCAGGATTCAAGGGCGAGCGGGACCACTGGCGCAGCGGGAGGACGATTTGCATCAAGACCCATGAGAGTGGCCAGAAGGAGATCGAGTCCTTCGACTCTGCCATCCTGCTCATCAGGAACCCCTACAAGGCCCTGATGGCCGAGTTCAACCGCAAGTACGGGGGACACATCGGCTTCGCCGCTCACGCCCACTGGAAGGGCAAAGGTAGGCCAGGGGTTGGGATCTGATGGGAGAGCTCCAGCCTGGCCACCAGAGCTGGGAAGTTGGTGGCAAAGCCCAGCAGAGCCCAAGTTGGGTCTCCACTGGGGAATCCTGGGCTGTACCATCACTTTGGGGTCACCATGTCCATCTCCTGGCGTGACCCACAGCATCGTCTTGCATGACCGAGGGCTCCTGCGCTGGGTGGGATGGGGTGGGATGGAATGGGTTAAAATGGGGTGGGACAGGATGGGATGGGATGGGATGGAATGGATTAGAATGGGGTGGGATGGGTTCAATGGGATGGAACAGATTAGAATGGGGTGGGATGGGACGGGACACGATGGGATGGAACAGCAGGACCACACTGCCCTGGGTGGGGCCAGAGCAGGGATGGGCATCTCCTGTCCCCAGTGTCATCAGAGGGAGTGGTGGCTGTCACAAGCCCATCCCTATGGACAAGGCGGTATCCGGGTGGGATTTCCGTGTGCCCGGCTGCTCTGGAGCCACCACCTTTCCCATGCACAGGCATGTTGTGCAGGCTGGTTAATTACAGCAATTTACAAATTGCTGTTGTGGGATTGACTTCATTGGAAAGAGTTAAAATATTTAGCTTGATTGAACATCTGCTACCCTTAATTCTGAGTTTATTTAAGGGGAGCTTTTGCTGCTGTGGCTGTTTTGTGTCTGGATTTTGTTATCTCCATGTGCTCACAGAGCCAGAGACAGCCCAGCCCTGCTCTCTCCATCCCATAAAACCAGGAGGGAGTGATATCCCCCAATCCTTGTCTCCCTGCGAAAGTCCCTGGGCTGCCATTGCCCCACCATGGTGGGCCAGGAGCCTCTTGGTAGATTTTATCCCTATCCAACTGCACATAGAGCTGGAGAGGGGATGTGGGACCATCACTCCAGCACCACAGGGACCATCCTGACTCATCCCAATCCCAACTCCCTCCCCAGCCTGTCCCCTGCCTCATGCCTCCAAGGGGAGGGGCAGGCCAGGCAGAGGGGACCATTCCCTCTGCCCAGCACCATTCCATTTGAATGTGCAACAAAATACATCACCAAATTCTTTCTGGAGGATGTACAGCATAACTAGGTTAATTGTCAGAACTTGCTGGGAAAGATGGAGATTTTCCATTGTTTGCTTGGTGAGGCCCATTTTGCTGATCCCATCTGGGCTCAGCCTGGCTAGACTTGGCCATGGAGGAGGAGGGTCCCATCCACAGTCTTCCCTGCAGCCCAGCTCTCCAAATAATTTCCTTCTTTCAAGAACTAATTTGGGGGCAAATTTGGGAAAAAAAGCACCATGACCTCTCTCCAGCCTCACCCCCAGGTGCTGGTGCAGGGAGGGGGGATTTCCTTCCGCCCCATTCCCAGCCCTGCAGAGGCCAAACTCCCGTTTGGTTCCATGACGTTAATTTTACGATATCCCTGGAGCGGTTCCAAAGCAAAGTTTTATGTGATATGATTACACAAGGTGAATTGTCCTGGATCTGCTTAATGAAACAGATCCTGTGTTTAATGATTCCTCAGGGAATTAAACTCAGCTCAGCAATTAATCAGGCATTGGTTTTGTGGGAAGGACACAAGGAAGAGGCCGATGTCTGGAGTTTTTATGTGTTGTGGATGGGTCTGTGTGGCACCATCAGGAGAGCTGTGGCTCATTATTGATGTTTCCTTACCCCTTTTACCACCAGGTTTCTATGGGAGGATCAATTAGCCAGCAGGATAACTGAGAGATCTCAGCAGGGGTGTGGGAGGGCACAGAGCACACCCACCCACCCACTGTGTCCTCTGCTCCTTCTTTCCAGAGTGGCCGGAGTTCGTGGCCAACTACGCGCCGTGGTGGGCGACCCACACCCTCGACTGGCTGCGCTACGGCAAGAAGGTGCTGGTGGTGCACTTTGAGGACCTGAAACGGGACCTCTTCGTGCAGCTACAGCGGATGGTGGGGCTGCTGGGCATCACTGCCTGCGAGGACAGGCTGCTCTGCGTCGAGGGCCAGAAGGACGGCAACTTCAAGCGATCCGGCTTGAGGAAGCTGGAGTATGACCCCTACACCCCCGAGATGAGGAAGATGATCAGTGGCTACATCAAAACAGTGGACACGGCTCTGAAGCTCCGGAACCTGTCGGGGGTCCCGGACGATTATTACCCGAGATGATGGTGATGATGGCGGGGGGACCTGACCCTGCTCCCGGCCTCTGCCTAATTCCACCCAGTGGGTGGCTCTGCTTTTAATCCTCCATCTGCTGCTATAGCTGTTGATCAACTCCCTGCATGAGCGACGAGTGGTCCCCAGCCAGTGCTGAGCTTGTTTGGCCATCACAGACCCCGGCAAGGCGGCAGTGCCGAGGGGACACGGGTGCCTTCACCACCACAGGGTTCCTGCTCCATCCCACTCCTGTTCCGGCTGCCACAGCCCTCCTTGGAAGTGCAATGGGTTTTATCTGTGGTCCTTGGAAGTGCCCTGGGTTGTTTGTGGTCTCCTTGGGCTGGCTCAGGGACACAGGCCATGCCTGACGGACCCGGTGCCACTGGAGCTGAGCTCCCAGGGGTGGGTATCCCCAAACTCCCTTCACTCCATGGCCAGCCCTGGGAGGCATCTGCTTGTCCCTGGATGGAATCCATCAGCCTTAGGCCAAGGGGTGGTATTGCGTGGGTGTTGCTCCCACGGATCCCATCATTCCAGATGGGAATCAGGAAGGCTGTGCTGGGGAGAGTAATGTCCCCATACAAGGTGGCTGTGCCCCCATGAACCAGCCCTTGGCTCCCTGGAGCAAGGCTGCATTCCCCAGTGCTGCCCTAGCACCAGGCAACATCTCTGCTCCAGCCCTGGAGGAGTCCATGACCCCCACCTGGGTGGCTACAGGTGGGATCTCCCCCCTCCATGGGGATGATGCTCAAGAGGGGGACGTTGGCCCTGGACAGAAGAGCTTTTGCAACCCAGGAGCTCATCTGTGCCTCATTTCAGGAGCTCATGAGCCAGAACAGCCCCCCAGCAGCAGTTTTGGGGGCCAGGAGCTGCAGTGGGGAGCAAACTCTGGGGCTGAGCTTTGGGGGGGCTGAGCCCCCCTGAGCCCCAACCCAAACCAAAGGATCCCGTGGGCACAGGAAGGTGCCGTTTCCAGGCTGGCTTTGTGCAGAGCTGCATGTGATCCCCAGCCATCCCCTCATCCCACGCTGCCCTCCCAGCCTGTCCCTGTCCTGGCTTTGCCCCAGACAAGCTCCCCCAGTATTCCCAACTTGTGAGTTCCCTTTGGATGTAGGTGCAAAAGCCATATATTGTACGCAGCCTTTTCTAGATTAGATGTTGAACAATTGGCTTTTAACTCTTGATCTTGATAGAAACACAGGCACAGGTCAAATCGAGACACACCGCTCGATCTATATTTAAAGAGAGAAGAAAATTCCGTGGAGAAAAAGGAGAATTTAAATAAAAATATATTTTTCTAATGTGCTTGAGGAGCAAACACGGGCTGGGGGGCTCCTGCTCCCTGTTTCTTTTGCACGGAGGTGGGTGAATGTGTTCAGAGGGAGCAGCTGCCCTGGTTTTAACTCTTCCCTTGACAAATGGCTGGAGGTTTTTTGGGAATGGAGCTGAGCCCACGCTCCTTCACTCACGGCAGCCCCGGGGCTGTTTACCTCGGTCAGAACAAATCCTCAGGTCAATCCAGCTATTAAAGGAGAGACTTTGTTGCTATTCTGCCTCCCCGTGTGTTTGTGGGGCCACCTGAGCACCCCCCACCCATCCCAGACCAGAGGATAGGGCTCCTCTCCCCCACCTTTAATCCCAACAATGTGATTTCTGTATTTAAACCACTGACAACACAACCTACGGGGTTCCTTCTTGGGAACTTTAGTACCTTTATAGTGTCCTTCAGCACAGGTTTGTTGGGGTCCATGGGGAGATTCACTGCAGACTTTATTCCTGGTGCCTCCCAACCTTCCTCAGCGCTGGAGCAAGAGCAGGTTCGGTGCAATTTATTCCTTATTTCTGATCAAGAGTTGGTGAAATCCCTTTTTTTATAGCAGGACTGGGTGTGCAGTGATGAAGACACACGTCAGGCGTGATTTGTTCTGACAGGCCGTGGCTGCCAAAGGGGCAGCGTTCCCTTCCGCCCCTCGGAAATAATTAACCCCCAAAAGCCAATTAATCTCGGAGATAAAACAATTAAGAGCTGACATTGCGTGCAGCCAACACGCTCAGAGCCTGGGCTGCAGCTTGTCAGGAGAAGGAGGGGCATGGGGAGGGGGACCCCACATCTGCCCCACCGCCCCCACAAACCCCTTCCCAACCCACGGCAAAAGGATTGATGGAGCTCCCTGAGCACCAGCAGATTCAATTTCCCTCTTTTATTTTTCCCTCCTGCCTTTATTGCGCCGCAATTGCTTTTTTTTAAATTTAATTTGCACTGAAATGGAGCACTTGGAAGTCATTAGGTCCCTGTCAGCGTGTGCTGCACATCTGGATGCACCTCTGGATTAGGGGGGTCCCTCCTTCCCTTCCATCCCACTGACGCAGGAGCAGCTTCTCCCTCCTGCCAGGAGCTGCTGTCCCTGCACGCACAGAGCTGAAGCTTCATGCTCTCATTTATTTTTATTTATTTATTAAATGCCTGGTTATATTTTTACCACGTGGGACTGGCACGCACTAATAAAATCTCCATTCCCCCTGGAAAGAGGAGCCAACCATCCTTCCTGCATCATTTTCCTGTGCAAAGCTCTTGACATTTAATAGCCTCCCTGCTCGGCTGCCTCTGTAATGCCATTAGCCCGGGGTAGGCAACACTCAGCCTTTCCATGAGGACTGGAAAAGCAGGGAATCTTTCTGCTTGACTCAGCCCCAGCGAGCCCTGAGCAATCCCTGGGTGGGCACAGTCATCTCGCCCGGCCCCACGTGGGGTTGGGGGGATCCTGACCCCCCTCCCTGGATTCCTGCACTGAAAATCATCTATTTCCATCAATCTCTCATCCCTGGGAGTGTTTCCCTCCCTCCCGGTCCTGCGCTGGCGGAGGCTGCAGCATCCTCCCTCCTGGGCTGGATGGGTTTCTCAGCGGTTGCTGTGGCAACGGCGGCTGCACCAAAACCGCCTGCATTTCCCCCAGTTCTGTGTGGGTTTTGTGCTCAGCGGTCCCTGCAACAGCGGCTGCACCAGAATCACCTGCAATGCCCCCAGTCCCGGGAGGGGGTTTGTGCTCAGTGGTCCTTGTGGTGCAAGAGATGATTCTGGAGATGATGATCAGAGCAGCTCAGGTTGGGGGTCCCTCCTTCATCAAAGGCAGTGGAAGCCCCTCTGGTGTGAATTCAGGGGGTTCTGGGCAATGACCCCAGCGATGTTGGGGGGCTCAGAGCAGCTCGGAAGGAAGGGGCTCCCCTTCCTCCCAAATTAAATCCCATGAAGTTCCTGCCGCGTTTAAATGAGAGGGAAATCACCCCCCTCAGCAGCACCACCCAGCAGCACTGTCACAAAAGCCCCTTAATGGGGAGATGTGTCATAAATCCGAGAGCAGCAACATCCATCACTGATAAACCCAACATGCTTATTTATCAGCTTTGCTGTTTTCCCCCAAATTTACAGCTGACAATCTGCCTGAATACAGCAGAGATTATTTAAACACGGCTCCAACCTGCCTGGCTCTGAGGAAAGGGAGAGGGTAACATGTTTATTTCTTTTTTTTTTTTTTTAATTTAATTCCAGCTCCAAATAAAGGAGTGATTTATGGGTGAGGTAAAGCATGGCTTTATTTCAGGGCCGTGACAGCCAAGTGAAAAAGAGCCGTCATTAAGGCCGGTAATGTGCTCCACAGAAATGGGATTGGAGTATTCCCAAGTCATTTCTCACATGGAATGAGACCCAGCCCCAGGTTTGGAGGGGTGGGAAAAGGACATGGAGAGGTATGAGGTAGGTTTGGGATGTGCTCGGTGAGGACTGGTCCTGCCCAGGCTCCTGGTGGGCTGCAAAAGCATCGGGGTCTGGGGGTGCTGAGCTCCTCAGCACCATGGGATCATGGGGTAGGGAGGGGTGGGATGGCTGGGGAACAGGATCTGGGGTTGGGGATGGGGGGTCACAGGGTTGTGAATGGGGGGTTCTGGGCTGAGGGTCAGGGGGTTCCTGGGATGTCCCAGGGCTGGGGATGGGGGCCCTGGAGACTGGGGTCCTGCGATGAGGATGAGGGTCCTGGGCTGAAGGTTTGAGTCCCAGGGCTTGGGATGAGGGTCCTGGGATGGGGGTTGGTGTCCCAGCTCCAAAACCTGCTGCTCTTCCCCCCTTGACCTACCCTAAGCTCATGATCCCCACAGCTGCCTTAAGTGCAGCTTTAACAGGGTCAGTGGTGGCTCTGCATCCCACTCACCCCTTAACTCTGAGATACTAAACCCTCTGCACCCCTAATTACCAATTTCACCAATTTCAGCCTCCAAAGGAGCTGGGTGGTCACACTCAGGCTAGCACAGAGCTGGGACACCAGCCCTGGAGCTGCAGCCCCCACTGAGCCCCTTCCCTGGATGTTAATTCCAGTTTGTGCACGTCCCCCTGGAGCTGGTCATTAACCTCCTGCTGTCACTAATCAAGAGCACTTCGTTAATTCATAGAGGACTTCATTAATTCATAGCTAAGGACATCTCCATCTGAGCGGCCCAGGGGGACCAGGGTCACTGGGATGCATCCAAGGATCCTCAGTTTAATATATTGGACCTTCCCCTCACCAGCACGGCAACCTGAGCCCCCTCCCCTCCATGAACAAAATAACCACCACTGCAAAAAAAAAAATGGAAAGCTGACAGGATACATCTCCAGCACCATGTGAGATTCCTGCTCCTGCAGGATTTAGGCAATATCAGAGGAACTGGGATAATATTGAGCTGCTTTTCTTTGCCACTCTGCCAAAAAGGGAAGAAAAAACCTGGCTGAAGGGGCTTGAGCTGCTGAAGTTTTAGGAGGAATATTTTTGTCCTGTTTACATATATATATATACATTTTTAATGTTCTCTTTGTGATCTGTTTGCTGTGATCAGTGGGTGACACGGGAACAGGAATCGCTTATATTCCCTGGGGATTTATCGTTATTTCCTAGCTTCTTCAAAATCTGGGAGGTTACAGGGTCCAGCTGCAAAAACTCAGTGCATTTTTCCCTTTTTTCTCCCCGTCCTCACCCCAAACCCTGCCAGCATGGGGAGAACCAGCAGCAGGAGGGGATGGAGCAGCAATGCTGGTGTCTGGTGGATGCTGGGATGGAGCACCTGGAGCCCATTGGGAAGCAGGAACCAACCTCTTCCCTGCTTCCCTGTCCCCCCAAAACAGCCTCGAGGACTGGGGGGAGTGAGAGTTGAGGGGTCATGGGGTACAGGAGGTGATGGAGAAGCAGCCCCTGCTGGGGGGGATGGAGGGAGATCCCACAGACAGATCCCACACAGGGACCAACTCAGTAGTGGCACTAATAATTCCTCGTTCAATTTGGAATAACAGAGCATTTTCTGGATGTGATCCAACAGGGATCCACATGTGGACACAGGGAAATTATGCTCTTCCAGCTGCTTTTTACATACAGACACAGGTTTTTTTCTCCTAAAGAGCCATTTGGTCTTTTCAGGGACAAATTAAAGTGGGAATTCCCCGGAGAACATCTTTGGGACATTTCCCATCCAAGAGGCTCAGAGCACCACACTCCCATCTCGGTCGCTCAAGCCCCAGCCCTGCAACCCCTCTGCTCCTGACCACTTTGACAATTCCAAATTCAATAGCAGGGATCAGGAATGCACACTGGGAAGT